AACATTCGACTCATGACCTTGAAGCTCATCGAAAAGTTGATAAAGCTTGAGCTTTTTCAGAGACCCATTGCTCTGAAGACATGATTTCACATTTCCCCATTCCTTTCCGAGACTGTTAATGGACTTGAGATTGTACTCAAGTGGAGTTCGGACTATCCCATGAGTTGTCATGTTGTTGACGACGATGCAGTATCTGTTTGAAGCTGAGGCAACAGATTCACCAGGTGTTGTAGTGAAAGTGTCGAACTCATTAACAACCGAAGTCAGGCGCTTATCCTTCATGTTCTTTGACCCTTCGAACAAATCTTGAAGTGTGTCCCAAATCTCTTTTGCAGACTTGCACAGTTTGATGTGCTCAAAGAGAGAAGGTGGAACACCAAACTCCATTTCTGAAAAGGCAACTTGATCAGCATGCAACTTTTCAAGATCATCAGCAGTAAGAGGTGCTTGTCGTTGTTGATCCTGTCCCAAAAGAGTTGCAGCAACATCTCTAACAATGGTTCGAACTGGAACATGAGGACCTTCTTTAACGGATCTGCAGATAAATTCACCCTTTTCTTTTCCAAGTAAAAATCTTTCCATTCTGACTTTCCAATGATCAAATTCTTCAACAACTAGCAGTGGGGCACGTGTAGGGCAACCCACGCTATTTTCTATTTGCATTGAGTACATTTATTGAGTATTAGAAGTAGCCATTGAAGTTAATATATCTTGAGCAAAAGTGGTATATAGAAGAACTTTTATCCTGAACACAAAAATGACCAAAATACCAAGGTAATCTCGAGTCAACTATAATATGTTCTTATGGATTCAAAGGACAACCACTCAAGCTCTGATACCAATTGTGAGAACAAGGATCGATTGCGCAGGGACAAGGAATGAAAACTTAAACCTTGAGTTAATGCTTAAGATCAATGTCTGCTTCAGATTAATAGTTTCAGTCAAGTCTGGCAAGACCAGTCTAGACTGAATATAAGAATCAACAAAGTACTTCAAGTATTAAATATAAGACTATGAATATGATCAAGTAAAGGCAATAAATGAACACAATGAATGTTTGAAAGATAGATTTGAGAGAAAGGTGCAAGTGAAGTAAATAAGAATATATCTATCTTTGTGGAACAATCTGTCACGTATAATTGTCATTGAATGCTCCTTATATAGGAGAATAAGATACATCGTACAAACCATAAACATACATAGGACCGGATAATAGAGTTACTCCTGACACTCTGATTATCTAACTTGACAAAAGAGTCTAAGTCCTATGATACGTTACATCAAACAAAATGAAAATTTTAATTAATACAGACAGAAAAGTAGATTCGAACATGCACCAATCTTCACTCCGGACTTCAAACAGACTCCGGACCACAAGTTGACTACAGAATAAGAACTGACTTCGGAACTGGGCTGACTCTGAAACATACAAAGGATAGAGATTGCTAGAGGTTCACTTTCAAGTTCCAACAATGAATACAATGATCATTAATAGAGGAAGAGATGAAAAGAGCCTAAAATGGAATCGTGAATACTAAAGACCATACGAGGCACCATTGATAGATTTCTTATGAGTTTTTTTATTTGCTATTCACTTTAATAATGTATTGTATGGATTTCTTAATTGTTTGATAGATTTGTGGTATATATTATTATTCTAAACAAAAGGGTAAAATGGTTATTTTTATTATATTATTTTAATTTAGATTTATGTTAATTTGGATTTTGTATGGGGTTTATATATATATATATATATATATATATATATATATATATATATATATATATATATATATATATATATATATATATTATTAAGCAACATAAGGGTAAAATTGTCATTTTTATAATTCATCACAACAATTCAGAGGTTCCAACCAAACAACATATTTAAAATTCAGATCTTAAAAATTCAGATCCTGCCAAACAGCCCCTAATATGAAAGGAAAACACCAAGACTTTAAAGATGTTTTAAATGACTTTGTCTAATAATATAATGTCAGCCGATGAACTTTGGACTTTGTTAAAGTTGTTTATTGTTCCAAAATATTTTTATTGCATATAGCATCTTATTAGCCATTCATGTCATAGTTACATTTGCAGAAAAAAAAATTTCAAAGCCGAAATTATTGAAAAATTATCTAAGAAAAGTTATATGGTTTGACAATATTATGTATAGTAAAAAATATATAAGATAAAATTGATTTTGATAATATTGTTTTCTATAAATTAATTGTTTTTGTAATGTTGTAACCATACTTGTTTTTTTTAATATTATTAGTGAATTTTTTAATGGTATGTCTATTTTCGAATTAATATTTATTATATTTATGACTTACATAGATTTGTAATTACTAGTCTAGCAAGAAACGGAAAGGTTGATTAAAATCTTACCATTCATAATCAGGGACGGTTCCACTATCGTGCCCATAGTGGCACCGGCAACCCCTTATTTTTTCGGATACAGTGTAAAAATTTTCGAATTTTTCGTTTTTTCTAAATTTGTGCCACTATGTAAAAGGAAAAACATGTCACCGGCAACACCTATTACGAAATTCTGGGTCCATCCCTATTGATAATAATATCGTAAAAGAAAAAAATCTTATATTTTATTTGGAGCGAAGAGATCGGTGAATGATGAAATACAAAGTCAAACTAAAGAAAATCGTGAATGATGAAATGCAAAGTCAGACTAAAAAAAGTCGTTGCTGATTTTAAAACTGAATTATTGAAATAAGCTCCAAAAGTAAATGTGGAATTTTTTTTTATATCGAAACCTACGGGACGACCGGTGGAAGATTAAAATTTTGGGTGTCACAGATTTCATCAGGAACAATCAGCCTTAAAAGTCCTCGAAAAAACAAACATATCAAATCAAAGTAATCAGGCTGAACAAGTTCACTTTCAATCTTGTTTTCCCTCTTTAATCGACACCATCTCTAATAGCAGGTCTGCATCTGAATCTGAATCTGAATCTTCATGTATGTGTGTGTGTGTTTGTTCTGTGTTGATGGATTAAGAAAGTCAAAGCTTCTACAGTGTTCCAATGGCGGGATCTTGATAATGTAGTTTGATTATGGCGGTTTATTGATTGATGAAACCATAATTATATTTTCTTCCTGTTCAAGAATGTTGGAGGGCGAATGAGTTTTATTTTGGGTATTTGCTAATAGTAGTTAATATGATTAGATTCCTCCATTTCCTTCTACTTCACGTTCTTTATTTTATACTTTCGGCTGTAAACCAAGATCCAAAGAACACAGAACGTTGAAAAGCAAATGGATCGGATCCATTTTGACCGAAAAGAAGTAGTCTAGTTGTTGTTTGTGATTCATTAAGTGGTATTTAGATGCATTTTGTTCTTGTTGTGTTGAGTTACAGGCGCATAGACATCGATCCTCCACCATGCCTGTGTCCATAAAAGAATGTTGCTGTTTCTTGAAGAAAATTGGAAACCCTCGAAGAATCATCCACTTTGCTCTTCTTGCTTCCGAGACATCATGTTAGTACCAAAAAATGCATATTTGTAATCAAGATTTTGGGGTGAATTAATCTGATCGCTGTACTCTGTTTTATTTCACAGTTTCCATCAACGAAATCGAGGCATTATACGATCTTTTTGAGCGATTAAGCCATGCCATAATCGAAGATGGTCTTATTCACAAGGTATATATTAAATAATGGTTTAACTTTAATATCGAAGAACAGATTCCAAGTGTTTATGCCATTTTATTGTACAGGAAGAGTTCAGGCTTGCGCTTTTCGGCGACAGCAGCACGCACAATCTGTTGGCAGATCGTGTGAGTAAACATTTTCCAGATTTTCTTGGTTTCTTCCAAAAAAATCACTAAAAATGATTGAATTTTTAATCCGATATTACAGCTTTTTGATATATTTGACATCAAGAAAAATGGGGTTATTGAATTTGACGAATTTGTTCGTTCCCTAAGCATCTTCCATCCTGATGCTCCCGAATCTGACAAAATTGAATGTAAGATACACCTGTTTGACTCTCAAAAGTCAAAACTGAATCTAATAACACTTGATAATCTTATTGCAGTCATGTTTAAATTATATGATTTGAAGCACAATGGCTTCATAGAACGAGACGAGGTAAGCAAAAACATAATAAAGTTTGGGAATTTAGTCAAAGTTTGACTTTAAACTGAATCCTTCCTGATCTTGGAAATACTTCACAATTTTAAGTTGAAGGAGATGGTGTTGGCTCTTTTGAGTGAAATGAATGTGGATTTATCAAATGATGAAGTTGAAGCGATCTTGGATAAGGTATAGAGAGCGAGTAATCGTGGGTTTATTTTGACTTTTATAGTCTTCAATTTTGACTCTTTTACTCACGAATTTGGTTAGACCATTTTGGATGCAGATCTTAATGGGGATGGAAAGATAGATTTAGAAGAGTGGAAGGCATTCATACCGAAGTATCCATCCCTTCTCAAGAACATGACTCTTCCCCTTCTTAGGTAACTCTTACATGCATGTTGATTATTATTAAATATTTTCATATTATCAAAAATCTTTATTTATATGAAATGAAAAGGTAATATACTCATGGTTTCGTTTGTTTCTTATACAATAAATAATAGGGAGATCACTCAAGCGTTTCCGAACTTTGTGTTAAATACTCAAGTCCGCGATCTAGAAATAGTAACGTGAAGAAGCAACAAAGTTGATCTCTACGTGCCATTTTTCTTTGGAACATGTTTCAAAATATTGTTTGGATGTGAGGATTCATTTTCATTGGTATCTTTCTATTTATTTGTAACCTATATGACCATTTCGATAGAAATGATACCTGAGTAAGCATTGTTATTACAAAATATTTTGTTCTATATTATGATATGGGTGTTAATTTGCATGATACATAGATATCAAGATTGACATATTCGTGGAACAATCTTCGCTTTAAAATTAAAACACACAAACATGAAATAAAAAAGCATCTTTTTAATTACGAAATGAAGTACATAATCACAAATCCATCATATATCATATGGTTGCTTGCCGGTGAACTTGACTTCAATTGGGCTAACATTCTTCCCGATTGACCTCATGTTTTGACCCACACCTTGTCGGCCGGCGTTCACCTTTTCCGGGTAAACCCCATCTTTAGGGTGCAAATACTGAACTTCACCGTTAGGGAACACCCTGTAGAACTGATACTTGATCTTGTATTTCGACCTCAATCTAGTCCCCAAAGCCAAACACTGCTCCTTCCTCGCCAATTTCAATAGATTAGGTCCTTCCCTCATGATCGCAGCGCCGCCCGTCGGCATCTCGAAGATCTGCTCCTTGGGGGATTCCCATGTGATGACGTAGAACTCCTCCACCTGAGCTTTTCGGAGCAATCCACCGGTGCTTCCAGCGAAGATAGGAGATGGGGTGTTGGGGTCGAGTTCCGGTGGGGTGAATCCAACTGGAGCCTCTTTAGTGGGGGTGGCAACCTCCTCGGCTGCTGCCTTGATGGTGAAGGTACGGGAGGTGAGCTTGAGCTGCTTCACGGTGGTGAAGGAGGATTGTTTCCATTGAGACACGGGGTTTGAGAGCGTTGGGGTGAAGAGAGAAGCTTGCGCAGCCATGGCCATTGAAGAATGAAGATGGATGAAGATGGTGAGGTGTTGTGAGGGTGGGAGATGTAACGAGGGGGAAAGGAGATTATGTGGAGGTGGGAGTGGGTAAGTGAGATAAGGTGATATTGGATGACCAATAAGAATGCCCTATTTTGATACGCTTGCATATCTCTCCTATTTCAGTATTTTGTATTGTTTTGTTTTGTTTTTTTCATTTTAAATATAGTGTTTAAAGGAAATAGTTTTTTGAAAAAGCCTACTTTGTAAGTTTGTATTCAAAAAGCCTCTGGTGAATCACACAATTTCAAAATGAAATTTAACTAAGTTTTTAGATATTAAAAATGCTGTGTAAAAATAAGAAACGTTGAAATTATTATTATTATTACTATTTTTTATTTTTAAAAATTATAAATGTTTGGATGTAATGTAATGGTCGGGACAACCACTTCGATTCAAAGACTTTTCCTTTGGTAACGAAGCATCACCCACCGGTGTCAGTGTCGCTGCTAGGCTCCCCCTCCCTACCCCCCCCCCCCACCCCCCCGGACCATCCCGTCCCTTCTTAACTTTGCATTAGTTTTATTTTAAATTAAAAAAAAAAATTGCAAGAACAATCCATGTAGTTGTCAATTTTTTATGATTGTACTATAAAAAATTTAGACTTATATCAATGATCCAAAATTGGATATTTTTTATTGAATTGGTCCATGCTACACTTGAAAATGGCTATTATGCCCTTTAATTTAATTTTTTATATTATTTAAAATTTTAAACAGTTAAAAATATATAAATCTCTCTCTCTCTCTCTCTCTCTCTCTCTCTCTCTCTCCTCTCTCTCTCTCTCTCTCTCTCTCTCTCGGTGTAGTCGAGCCGATCCGAGTTGAGTATTGTCAAGCTCGAAACTCGACTCGACTAAAATACTCGAGCTTAAAACTCGACTCGAACTTATTTTCAAGCTCGGGCTCGAGCTCGATAAAATAACCAAGACTTTTGAGCTCGGCTCGACTCGACTCGATTAATTATTAAAACAATAAAACTACATAAATTTCAATATAAACATAATTAAGATCGCGAGCTCGACTCGGCTCGGCTCGAATATGTAGAATATGAATAAATATGATGGTAAAAATATAAATATAACTAAGCTCGCGAGCTTAACGAGCTGAGTATTCTAGCTCGAGCTCGACTCGATTCCAACCGAGTCGATCTCGAGTATTTATCGAGTCTCCCTCTCTCTCTCTCTCTCTCTCTCTCTCTCTCTCTCCAAGAAAGCCTTAATTGTTGGAATATGATGATACTTTATAACAATTAAAATATGCAAAGAGAAGCAAACTAGCAAAATCATATTCCATAAGGATCACAACTTCAACAGTTTATTGCAACGAAACTAATAATCATAGAAAGAAGAGGTTGAATGATATACCTTTCTTTTGATGTGGATTGAATCCTTACTTCTTTTTGGATGACGAAGAACTCAAATCGAAACTCCTCTAATGTGGAAGCACCCCAAGAATGACAACATTCTTTTTCTTCCTTTGGCAAAAAATGAAAAACCCTGGGTTGGAAAAGAGAGGACCCGAGGAGAGAATGACAGGGAACTTGTAGTCGATTTCACCTTATCGGGTCGGCTAGGTTTTTTTCTTTCTTTTATCTAGTCCTTATCTTGGACTAGAAAAAAGTGTATATTTATTCTAATGTAAATTATGAATAATTACACTTAACCCCATGACTTTACTACATTTTTAATTACCTCACCATAAGAAGATAAGTTAATAAAGTAGTCCTTTATCTTTATTTTTTTTTTTTATTTTATGTTTAAATCACATCTTATATGTAATCCAAAAAGACCTTGTTATTTATATAAATATTACTTACTTGTTGTGACCATGACTACATTTACAATAGCTTCCCACTTGTACATGTCGTCACAACTCACAACACAAAAATGTTATCCCACCTTCTTTTTATTGTAATCATAATTTATCAAATCAAAACATATTATCATCTCTCTTACCCCTCCCCCACTCCTATACACACACACACACTCTCTCTCTCTCTCATCCACACAAACCTCATGTCTCACCCTACCAACACCCATACCTACACGCTCAAGCCAACATTGATACCAACACCCACTCCCCCAACAAGCCAACACAGGTTTGAGTAAGAGTTTAATTAATGAAAGTTTTATCATTTTTATTAAAAATTATAATAACTTACAAGAATCAATAAAATGGTATGTTGGTCATATTACATAATTTACTTTCCAATTACCTTTAACAAATATGCAGCCAAAACAGATATCCCTTCATGTCAACCAAACTCCATTATGCCAACTATAGATACCTAGATCATTGATTTCCATGGAATTTCCTAATTCGATCAATTTTGCCAATCAAACGCACATCAAAGAGATGTTTCATTAAAACACGCCCTAATACTCCAAATCAACCCTGAAACTAGTCGTTATATTGCTGGGAGGTGCATATTAGGAATTTAAAATCTTCGAATAAGTTGAAAAAGGGGGGAAAAAGGATTTACAAAAAAGGTTCCGAAACCTCCCAACACTAGCTGCTTTTTGCCCTTGCTTACATTAATATTTAATAACCAGTTGTTCAAAGTTTTAGTAGCAATCTGTGCACATGAATTATCAAGACCATATTTAAGATTCAAACTATACAAACGTCACTCCAAAATCCAAATACCATATAGCATATGCTATATGTTTGACCAGAAATAGTCAAAACATTCCCCATAATTAACCTCTGTAGGTTCTGGATTCCAGCTGCTGATCATGCCTCCACCACTGGTGAACTCCATGAGCTTCCTTCAAATCACGTGCACGACTCAAGTTCACAGTTAAATTTGCAGAGGGAAGAAGGTGAAGCGGATCATGTGATTCCTTCCCAATTGCATCCATGAAAATTCCCCCAATTGAATGCTGTGATGCCAACCGTTCTACCACTCCTACACCCATCTTCTCCATCTTTCTCCGATGTCTAAAATACCCGATATACTCTGAGCAGATATGATCCCCTGGATTCACATACAAACACGGGACCCATGCTGCCAAATCAGCAAACGAATCCTTCCCTGGAATGTTTCTTTGTTGATTGTTGTTTTTAATCTTCACTGCAACAGCAAGTCCAGCTGTCACAAAACTGCTAGCGATTCTGAGCCCGTGTTTCACTTGCTTGTTCTTGATGTTCTCAATTGGAGCCGAAACAAATGGCGGGTTGAAAAGATGTGATTCCAGGAAAATCCCGTTTTTTACCATGTTCTTCCCCGCAAGCATGGCCATGGCGGATCCTAGAGAATGACCGGTTAACCAGATGTTTTGATTACCGGACGCAACCAAGTTTCTAACAGCTTGAATGGCGATTTGGAATCTTGATGACTGATGTAACACGTTTTGGACAAAGTGGAGATCGAGTTGCAGGTCTCGAGAGAATGCATCGCCTTTCGTTACTGTGCCTCTGAAAGCGCTGACATGAGATGGGGTTGAGGGCGTTGATGATGGGCTGGGTTTGGATTTGTAGATAGCACCAAAGATGGAAGAATCAGCATCGTCTATGAGGTGACTGTGTAACTCGAAATGGAAGAAGTTCCACCATGGAGGAGCGAGAGCCTCCGATCCTTGACGGTTTTCCTGGAGGTCGCGTTGCATGACGTAAACACCTTGAACCATGGATGCAGCGATGGACCTTCGGTGATCCACATCGGTCCTGAATCAACAGAGCAACATGTTTACTACTATTTCAAGGATTAAGCAGAAGAGGTGTTCCATGAAATTTCTACTGTTAAGGAAAAAGTGGTACCAGTCGATAGTAGTCAAGTGTAAGGGGCCTGAAACCTCAAAATTGTCCCTTTCTGGAGCCATCATCAGATCTATGATCTCCTTTGTGGTATGTTCTTGATTAAGTCAAACCTATACTTCTACATCATAAAGAAGAGACAGATAGGCACGCATTGGACGAAATCGGATACGACAATGTAGAGAGATTTTCAAATGGTCAAAAGACTATAAAAAACCCCAAATTCGTATATTATTATGATTTTACGATGCAATACAGAATCATTATAATTCTTCATACTTTCCAGAACGATTTAAGAACCTAGGAACCAAACAACCCTTCAAATATGTGAAAACGAGAAATTAAGGTAATGAAATAGAGTTGAATTCAAGGCCCGTTTCGATTGTCGAGGATATGATATTAGAAGCGAAATAAGAACATCATGAATGCATCATCAGAAACAAAGGAATATGGAGTAATTAGGTTATAGATTTAGAAGGAAAACTGAAGTGGAAGAAAATGTACCTACGGGAGGAGATCCGGGCATAACGTCAAACCTTTTTGTTGCAAGGAGTGATGAAATGGAATGAGTTTGAATGTTGACTGCATCTATGGAGATCCACCTCCGGTGACGAAAAATAGAGGAGGGAGGTGAAGTGTTGTTTTCAAAGTAGTGGTGGTGTTGACGTCTGTCGGTGGTGATGTGAGTCTGGTCACTGCTGTAGCGGTGTTGTGCACTGATGTATATATATTATTATAGACAAAATTATAAAAATGGTCCTGTGGTTTGCCAAAAATAATAAAGTTAGTCCCTATTAATTCTTTTTGATGCAAATGGCCCCTGTAGTTTGCAAAACTTGCACAGATGACCCCTTTTACTAACGCAAGTAGTATTCAATGAAGAGGATTTGAACTGGGGACCTCCTTCCCCTTCTTATTCAACCAAAGCCCTAACCAACTAGGGCCATTAGTATTCAATGAAGAGGATTTGAACTTGGGATCTCCTTCCCCTCCTTGTTCAACCAAAGCTCTAACCAACTAGGCTAGAGCCAAACTTGTTATTTAATTCCGGAAATTAATTAATATTATATAAAATCGTAATAATTAATAATAAAAAAGTATTTAGAAAAAAAAATTAATAAAACAAAATATATTTTTAGCGTATTGTAAAAATATATTTTTTACAAAAAACTTACTTTTTTTTTACGTATTTGT